GAAACAAGGGTGATACAGGTGTTCGTGGAAAGCAAGGTCCCCCTGGTCCCAAGGGACCTCAAGGACCCTCAGGTTCAGCTGGTTCCCCTGGAAACAAGGGTGATACAGGTGCTCGTGGAAGTCAAGGTCCCTCAGGTCCCAAGGGTGCTCCAGGATCGCTTGCTCGTAATTGGAAACAGTGCGTTTTTAAGAATCTGAACGACGGCAGGGACTCTGGATTGATCAAGGTAACAACTGCATGAGTTTGTTGTTCTAGATTAAATAAATAAATCTGACGTAAATTAAAAATTACTGATACTTAAAGGTCTAGCCTTGAGATTCGAGCGAAGTGTAAATCTTACTGGTTATTACGCCATTTGGAGAAAAAAAAATGGGTGTATCTGATATTTAACTATTTACTCATGGGATGATACGGAATGCAAGAAAAAATTCGAATGACATTACTTATTAAGTTTATAGGATACACCTATACCTTCTGGTCTGAATTTGAGTACACCCGCCATGGTAACTATAACTTGTTCCCACGGTTTGCCCCTATGACGTCGATAGCATCGCAGGCACGCTATCCACAGTTGAGGGTATAAAGATGTTAAAGTCAAGTAGCATAGCTAAAGCCAAGTGAAAAGTCCGAGGAGTTAAAACAATTCCCTTCCTCTTTTCATTGTGAAAATACGAGTATGTTGATGTCTTTGTGTTACAGTGAGTGAAATCCACGGTTTTCAGGTACGTTTTTCTGGACGATCATGTCATTGTTTATCTCTGATGTTTCATCTTGGTTCACCTCGTTTTGATCTCTCCTCCTCTGTTGATTTTTAAGGAGTGCATTTTCAAGAAAGCATCAGCCACTACTGGGTTGCGCGTCTTTTGGAGTGGCAATCTTCGTCTCTACAACTGCCATGGATGCTGCAGACGATGGTATTTCACTTTCAACGGCGCAGAGTGTTCAACACCAGGTGCCATTGACGGAATAGTCTACATGGTACATGGAAATAGCGCGAGAAAGGATTTACACCGCGTACGTCACATAGAAGGAGTCTGTGAGAAAATCCACAAGGGTACTGTTCGCGTGGGATTCTGGGTCGGTAATTGTGCTAGTTACGGATCTGCTGATGCTTACACAGGCTGGAACTCAGTATCCCGGTTGTACGTGGAAGAAGTACCTCCACCACAGGCTTAATAACACCAGAGCCAAAGCTTTTTTTCCCGCTTTCCAAGAGGAGAGTAATATTTTGAGGGTGATTTCAATAAATGAAAGGGCTTTGAAATAAAATGAACGCGTGTAATATGAATTTACTACCCTGACCCATCTCGACCTTTCTTTCCCCTTTGTTTCTCTTAGTTCCCGATTCTTTGGATTATCATTTAACGTTATTTTCCTGTGTGTGAAGTCAGCATCAAATTCAGAGCGACTAGTGTATCTTCAGCTGATAACGGTATCCATCTACCGAATGTTTTAGCAGCCAGTTTGGTAAATTTAGAAGTGCCCTAAATACTATTCATCTGTTTGTATGTCTTAGGGGGACTTTGGTCTTCTCGAAAGTTTTAGGTGGCCCTTTTGTCTCATCCGAAACTGTTAGCTACCCTGATGGGTCCGGTCGAAAGTTTAAGGACGTGGGGTAGTCGCACCTTAAATAGAAGATTCTAGGGAACGTTTTGACCTTTTACCGAAATTTTCAAGAGATCTTTGTGAACTATAATCGCGCGCAATATCTTGGTAATAAATGTGAAAAACACAACCTCCCAAATAAATAAAATCGTATGAAACCGAATATCTTTGAGGAAAGTTACTTTTATCCAGAAAATTTTAGCCATTCTCGGCATTTTTTACTCTTTCGAACCGTTATTTTAAAGGAAAAAAAAATCGTTGAGTGTCCCTGACAAGAACTCAGTTTCATTTTGAAAGTGGCCGTGGGACTGTCGTTGGAAAATGCTGCTGATAATTTTACATGTAAAGAGCTAAAACTGGGCTGGTATGAAGAATAAGACTACGATGTTATAACGGTGAAATTTAGAACAGAGAAAGGTCTTCAGTTTCACACGAAAATTTAGTCACAGCCGCTTCGTCGCGGATGCCAAACCTTCACTCAGGATTTCAAATTGTTGCTTGACCTTATTCGCTTATAAATAATGAGGCAAAATTTTTGACTGTCAGGGATTTTTTGCCCGATGTGGTAACGTTTGAGTCTTAAGGTAAATTTATTTCTTTGTTGGGGAAAAAGAAAAGTGTTTGACCAGAGATCAAAACGGTTCACTTATTCGGAAGAAATATTGGATCGGTAACTTTTGCGCATTCCCGAACCTTAAATGCTACAATTTAGCATCTGGAACACTGGAGCTGCAGCAGAGTCCGGCTCTTAAAAAGGGATGTTTGGGTTTTTTTTTCTAAGCAGAAGAGCCTCCTTTTGGCTTGACAGAAAACGGCTTGGCTAGCATCAAAAGACATGTTTCAGCAAAATTCCCAATTGCAAATGAGTTAATAATAATAGTAAAAATAATGCTGATGACGTTGATGAAGATAATAAAAATAATAAAAATCGAAAAAGGTGAAGCTTATCATTTAGTTCCGAAGTCCATTTTATTATTGAATATACGGGTAATTTGGAAGGTGAACACTGCCTTGGATTTAGTTCAAACCTTTGATTTCAATAATGATGGTCAATAGTGCTCAAAATCAATTTTCTCTTAACGATATCCATAGACTATCATGAGCAAAGTCTATGAGAATTAACAAAATGATCATAATTGATCTTTTATCAAATTCTCTCAACTCATTCATGAATGAAATGTATGGAGATCAGTTTGGAGAATTTGTATGTGGATATTGGGACTTAAAGGGTTAAGAAATACATTTGTATCAAGGTCTTTAGTTAAACTTGGAATGCACTTTTCCAGAAAGTTTCCATGACCACCCATTAGGCCACAAGGATTATACCTGAAAAGTTATACATCAGGCCTCAGTTGTTCAAAAGTTGGATAGCGCTATCCACCGAATAAATCACTATCCCACGAATAAGTGTTAGGGAAACCAATTGCGCTTTCTAGTGGATAGTGATTTATCCAGTGGATAGCGTTATCCGCCTTTTGAACAACTGGGGCCTGTACTTTTTAGTTGTGTTACAAAGACTATTGAGGAAGAAAATGAACCATAAGAACAAGTTTAAAAATAAAGCCAGGGTGATTAAATATGTTCTCCAAGTGTTAAAACGTAGTAAAGAATTCCTCCCACTCTCATTACCTCATGAGGTAATATTATGAGGAGCATACAAAAGGTTAATATTGGTTACAAAAGTTGTTCAATACTATTCTACATCTGCTGCTAAGGAATAGATAAATTTTGATAAATACACAAATCGTGTTAATATGCATCTTGATCCATACTTGTTGCATTGCCACAGCTTCAAATGATGAAGTTACTTCTTCTTTTTGCCACCTCCCTTCTTCTTGGGTGGCTCGTTTTTACCTCCCACCGCTGCAGGGTTCACTACTTTTAGTGGTTTGGACTGCTTTCCAACTGCTGCCTGAGTAAGTTCTTGCTCTATCTTGACTTTAATAGTTACTTCCAGTCACTTATTACTAATAACTATTTTTAAAAACTCATTAATTATTCATAAAGAAAAAGCAAAAGAAATTAATGTTTAATGACTGTCTCTATGTCTGATAATGACACGACTAAACTTAACGTCCAATTTTTTTAGGCCAAAATAACCCCAAATCTAAATCATTCTTACAGTGCAAGAATGAGTTGATCTTTATTAGAGATTTTGAAGCGGTTCGAAAAACTCGCAGTAGTGTATTATCAGGCTGAAAAGTTATTGGCTTCGCCTCGAGTTTTTAAACCTGATAATACACTACCTGCTCGTTTTTTAAACAGTTCACATCAAATTATGAAATATTAAAAGTTGAAGTAAGATGGGTCTTTCCAAATATTTATTTTCTCTTCTCGTACGGTTGTAGCTGCACGGTTTGGGCCAAAAGGTAGCATATTTTCTTGAATAAATAAAAGTGTGCCTATTAACATCGCCACACCCGGGTGGAATGAATATGAAGAGAAGGTTAACCGGCTCCCCACAAAATGAGGCTGACCCGGAGAGTGAGGGGGAAATACAGCCAGGTGTGTTATTACCTTGATTATAGCTCTAGTGCTATTAAAGTCATTAAAAACCTACGATAAGTTTGCAGTTATACTTGATAGATACATTAGCAGGTAATGCAGTACATGTTTTGGAAGTATTTAGTTTATAAAAGTAATACCAGCCCCTCCACTCCTCATAGCGGGGAAATCCGAATGTCACAAAAAAACACTTGATTTCATTGTGAAATGATGCCAGACCAAGAGAAAGGATTTCGTCCAATACCTTACATTTTAAACGACAGATATTTTAGTTACAAATCCCTAATAAGTATAGAAAACCAACTACGTCATCATTACAACATTATCCCTCTTTTGTGACAACTGGGGCCTGAAGACCCCTAAACCTTTCAAGATTACATACCGCCGAAAGTACAATTAATATTAATTAACACGCATGCATTAGTTTTCAATTGAAAACGTTATTGTAGGATGTCTAAAGAGAAAAAAAATCATTGTATTCTTTCTTTATGATAAGCATGGCGGCATGCATGAGGCGGGCAGGGGGGCCGGGTTCTAAAAGGACTAGTCATGTGGGCGGCTGACGGGAACATTATTTTTATCTAGATAAAGAGCAATCAGGGGACACCTTTTGACAAATTATTATCTAAAAAACTTTTTTGATGGATTCGACATAAATAAACAGCACCTTAGTTGCAGTGAGTGTTCAAACTAACTGGCGTTCTAGCAATTGAATTATAAGAGCAGTCAGCAGCCTCTACCTATTGTTTTAATTCGACTGATCCAGGATGATTCTGGGAGATTAAGAGCAAGATTTACATNGTCTCTTTCCTCCTTCCCATCATCCCCCGCACTTCCCTTCACCGCGCTTCTCTCGTTAATATTGATAGGAGACTGAGAGACAACTGGGGACGAGTCAGGATTTGACCCCAATACTCCAACACAATGACGGCATTGGCTACTTTTATTTAGCTAAATCATTATGCTCGACGCTCAGCAATTTTTTATGGGTTAAAAATAATCGCTTTCCTTTCTGAACACTCTAAGTCAGAGCAAAATCTGAAATTTCTACTCCTATAAATTATGTGACGACGAGCATCACCTTCATTTTCGTATGGGAATCCGGCATACAAACGATTATTGAAAAATTAACTACAGCTGATCTGTTTTTATTTTAATGCAGTTAATTTAAATAGAGTAATCTGGGGAAAAGAACGGGTTATGATATACAATGTACCATCGGGGGTTTACGTAGTTTGCGTGATATGCTCTGCTCCTTAGCTTTGATGGGTGGAAGACATCATTTTTACGCACTGGATCAGCCTTTAGATTTCCGTGAGAGCTAATACTCCATAAAAATAGACAGTCGATCAAGGGCTTCTTCAGGATAGAAGTAAGGAGCAATAACGTGGAACCGGAAATATTTTCGGCTGGCGACATTTCCTAGTGTCCCGAGAGCCCTCTGTGAAAGGTATTGGACTCAAAGGGCTGCGTTTTATTAGTTCCTAAGTATAACTACACACAGAAAAATTTCTGTTCATCCCTCGTATCAGAATTTCTGTGCCTAAAACATCCTAAGAAAATAGGACAAGGTGAAATTTTGCAAGTCCGTTTCAAACGACTTTGCTTCCTCTCTGCTAAGCTGGCTCGACCGTAGCTGAGTACGACTCTAGCGCCACGGTACGGCGCGAAAGTTTCAGTAGCCGTTGTCGAATCGAAAACAAAACAAAGAAATAAAAACAAAACGGCTCAATAAACTTTGAAATACTTTCTAAACATTTTAATACATTTGTAGTATATAATTGAGTTTGAGCCGACAGTAGAACGACGTTTAAGTGGAAATCAAGTAGTGTAGCAGAGCAATTAGCGCACTAACAGTTCTGCGCCTGAGTATAGTAGGCAGTGTCAGCGCGACTGAGTTCGGCAACGCAGCAGCTGACTACATTTGAAACGCGCTTCAAGCCGACGAATGCCAAAGTGTAAGATCGCGAGGCAAAACAAATTGAACCAAAATTAAGGGAAATCAGTTTTTTACCTGCTTAACTGCCATGCGTAAAGATTTAATTTTCACTTCGTTGTAGAATTTC